AAAAAAAAAAAAGAGCTCGCAGTCAAACACAAGCTTGATAATTCTACATATATCAGCCATTTCAGAATCTCAATAAGAAATGTTACCCCTATGTAAAAACATCAGACTCCAGAATCAAGAAAAATAGACGAAAAAATGTACATGAACATCCGATCGAGACAACAAACGAGCACATAAACAGCGTGCTGCGTACCTCAGCTCGAGAATGGAGCATCTGACGAACATCCGACCGAACCGAGTCCTTGACATCTTGAAATGCGCCATGGTGCCACGCCGGGTGACCCGGGTCCCTGCGATACGGCTGCACGGCAGATTCTACGCAAATCAAGCTTAACAAAATTCCTAAGAGATAACAGCTGATTTTAAGCCGCCTCATACTTCCCCAAGACTGAAAATCAGATGCAGTTTGCTCTTCTTCTTCCCAGTCGTCGGCTCGCTCGTGGCCTCTATTCTGTTTCTTTTTGGTAATGTCTCAACCCCTGCCGGGCCACACAGACCCGGTCGGACTAACGGGTCAAAGGTACCGGATCAACTCCAAGTTCATAATTGGATAGCAAATATTAATAACTATTACACGGGTGCTTACTAATTTTTTCCTTAAAATCTAACATTAATGAGAAAAATTAGTTGAAAATTTAAATATATTTTATTAATATATATATATATTATTATATACTTAGTATGAAACTTTTTATTTGTGTGACTTACATGTGTTATATTATAATAATTTTTTTAACTTACAATATATAACTATATTAAACATAAATATATTAATTGAGAAATAATTTTATTTTTCAAATGAATTTTAATAAATATTATAATTTTTTATTATTATAAAGATAAATATGATTTATTTATTTCATATATACAATATGGATGTCAAATCGAAGGTCATCAAAAGATGATTAATTTGATATATTATATACGTAAAACGGATAAGAAATACAAAAGTTATCAACTTTTAAAATATATTTACAATTCAATAGCTAATTGAATGGAACAAATCAAAAGTCAGTAATATATTAGTCACTTAGTGTCTCACTACGTAAAATTACAAAGAATTAAAGAGTTATATTAGTACAATTTGTTATAAAACTAGAGGGAAAAGAGAGAGAATAGAAAAAATGTTTCTCTTAGGTACAATTTTCATTATAATTGAAGCTCCTATATATAGGAAACTTCTGATGGCACAACCGTAATAATACAATTACATCGGGGGCAAAATAGTCATTTACATATATTATTTTATAACAAATAATTTATAACACTCCCCCTTGAATGACTATTTCTAAACATATTTTAACTGATTTGAATAACGCCCAATCTGAATATCTTGAAGTGTATCTTGTAGCCATCGGTACTGGTGCTTCAGTATATCAGGAAAACCCGGTGGGACAAAACCTGATCATCTTGAAATTATAACATTGCTTCCTCAGGAAAACCCAGTGGGACAAAACCTGATCATTATGGAATCACAACATCTACCCTCAGGAAAACCCGGTGGGACAAAACCTGAGCATTTGTGGAAGCACAACATTGCTCCCCCTCAAATAGATCATCTTTAATGGAGTATTCACGTGCTGCCTCGTTAAAACCTTGTCAAGAAAACCCAATGGGAAAAAACTTGATCGAAGGAAAAAGAGTACAGCTACTCCAGTGTTTTCTCATCATAATGAGGAATCATATCAATTATCCAGTAGTCCTCATTATATCATGAATGTGCCTCGTTAAAACCTTATTAGGAAAAACCCAGTGGGACAAAATCCTAATGAAGGAAAAAGAGTACACTATTCATGTGAATATGTCATCCATGTTGCCTCATTAAAAACCTTGCTAGGAAAACCCAATGGGACAAAACCTTAGCCAAGGGAAAAAGAGTACAACGCGTATTCCATATATTCACCATAATAACTTTTTCATGAGTATCATATAGATTCATTCAATTTTTCCGATACTGGTGGTATTCATGATAATATGTTATATTATGCTTTTGTGCAACTTTCATTCTTAAACTCATTTTCATCATCAACCGATTTCAATGGTCTTACTGCCAATAGTTCTCAATATTCTCATTTCAGCCATTCTCATCAATATCATTTATATAGCGCTATTCATCTTGTTTGTGTCGACACATATTCATTTTTATTATTTCCCGTAATATATTGAGATATCTCATTATCAATTAATTTCATCGATAGTATATATATGCCTCCTTTCATCACTTATTTGGGGAATTTCAATTTGCACAATACCAACGCTTCCAGCGTATCTTTTCACCATCATATCATTTCATATATTTAACCACCATCAGTATCATTCAGTTTATGATTTGCACACTTTCAGTGTGATGCATAAATCATTTTCAAAATTTCAATAATTGATTCTCCCCCTCATCTTAACAGATCTAATTTGTATTTTCAGTTTTGAGTTTCTTGAGGGGAGTTCATATAATCTCCATTTCGTTCTCGATTTCAACATATAATAGGAGGACTTTGAACTCATATCACTTGTAATGTGCACATTTTTCTTTCATGAGTTCACCATATGAACTGATTATATTACTAGCTTCATCACTTTCATATGACACTTTCTTTCATAATCATCTTGTGTCATTCTTTGATCAAACCATCTCGTAACTTCAGGTTACGTGTCATATACACATTCTTTGATCAAATCATATCGTAACTTCAGGTTACGAATCACACATGTGGCTATCTAGTGGATCCATAATATCTAGTAGCACACATGGAGGGGTAGTGGGCCCATATATATATCGTACCCCTTTCATACTCAGTTTGATCAAATATCGATTCATAAATATTTAGCTAGTAATAATTTAACCAATCGAGAACAAAACATCTCATAATCAGTTAATCATGCAAACCATCATAATTTATATCAGTAAACATCACAATAATTCATTGTGACCCATTAAACATATCACATCATCTTTCGGCGGCAATAAATGCACTTCAAGTGCAGATTCTGATCCACAATATTTAAATTCAGAACCGTATCACATGCGTATCAATCTTTCTGTCAGACATACTCTTTGTTTTTAGAGTCGTATAGCATACGCATCATTTCTATAAATTATCGTGCAATCCATTTAATCTTTACGAACAAAGGTCCGAATTTACATATGGATTTGGCACTCTCAAATATCCGTAAATATTATTCTTTTGTTCCAGTAAATATCATAAAAAGAAT